TGCATGCGACAGCCGCGCTCAACTCTGAAAGGTGCGCGCGACTCCCCTGACGCGGCATGTAATTATGGTTAATTTCCGTATTTTGGCTCATATAATGACGAAGTCTTCACGAGATCTTAAGACGAATAATACGCTTGCCTTCTAACACTTTGTGTCCCTTTTCTTGCCTACTTTTTTATTTTATTTTTTATTTTTTTATTATTTTCTTATTTTCTTGTTTTCTTTTTATTTTTCTTTTTTCCATTGTTTTCCTACTTTCTTTTTCTTTTTATTTTCTATTATTTCCCTACTTTTTATTTTTCTTTTTTCTTTTTCCTTCCTTTTGCCTTCTTTTTTTGAGTTTGTTTATTTTTTTCGAGGGGGGTATGTCGGGAACCCTTTCCCTCCCTCAAAATTTTTTTCGCATTAATGTACACATGAAAAAAAAAATGACATATATACAAATGTGTCATATATATACAAAAAATATATATAGGTCCATCCCAATATCATGATTATATGGATGGCCTAAACGATAGTAAGTCATTAGAACTACCCCAAAATGGGGGCTCCAAGACTTGTGAGATAGCAAGAGTGCGCATAACCCGAGACATGGGGGCTCCAATATCAATAAATAAAAACAAAATGAGATATTCATGCCATTCGAGCTACTTTTGAGAATCGCCTAACTACAAAGGGTTTACGTAGATCTCGAGCCTTATAACTCTCAAACGTATCACAATGATTTAATAATCATGTTCTTCCTTTGAAAACTAAGTTTGCAGCTAAACTTGGCCATTAAACATGTTACATACTCAAGCCATTTTCAAGTGCAACTTCAGAAATTAATCTTATTGCATAATTTTTGTTTCAATACCTCAATTTACTCTAGAGAATAGAGAGTATGACTAGTAAAGAGCAAAGAAACAAAGTCATGATACATAAAAAATACTTGCTCATACGAAAGTTTAGTACTCAATCATTCATCATGAAAATTGTATCTAGACACATTATTTTATGAGTTAGAATGTAAACAAAAGACTCTTAAATTCTAAATTAAGGAGTCTTCATTATTATCCATTGTTCCACACATTAGAATTTTTCAAGGGGGATAACATCTACTTTCTCGAGCTTCAAAACAGTGAAAAAAATTCGAACTCAAAAGAAAGAATTCAAAAGTAGCAAGAATAGACAAAAAATTTGAACAACATTTCATTTTTCCTCTTACTTGTTCTAATGAATAATCAATATTACTACACTTAGCAAATTTCTTTGTTAAAACTATGAATGGTCAAAAAACGATTTAAACACACTAGTTTAATAGTTTCCAAGATCCTAGTTGTTATCATAATAAGACGAAACACAGGATTTCGATAATATAAAATGGGGGCTACAATATAAACAAGTCATCGAAGTCACTCAACATTGGGGGCTACAATATTCGATAATATAAAATGGGGGCTCAAAAGCCCGAAGTATAGCCAAACTACTCTAATGCAAATCTTGAGATCACAGTTTTATAAGTAAATAATAATAACCGTCGGTTATTTTTATCATTGATAAAACCAATTTTGAAACTTAGGCATAAAAAAATAAACATGAGTCGCAAGAACAAATTCATGCTATTATAAAAGTTCAAAATTTTATTTATAATTTTATACATAATTGTTGTTCTGAACACTTCAATTTACATTAAAATTAACAAGTATAGTCTATATGAGCAAAACAAAAGAGAAATAAAATTCAAGCACAAAATCAAAATTAGAACAAAAAAATACATATATGCTTTACATGCTCATACAGGATCAATACTTTATCACTTCACATAAAATTTGTTGCAATATTTTGCTTAAACATGTCACAACGACAAACAAACAAATTCATGAAAACAAGTCGAATAAAAAAAACCCCAAATTTTGACGGTTCGAACGCCCAAATTCAGCCTAGAATGAACGAATTATGGCTAATATGAATAAAGGACGAGATCTACTTCCTTTAGCTTCGAAAAACAAGAAAATCTGAGCTCTTTAGATAGAGAAAGAAGCGAAAATCGTGAAGGAAGGAGAGAGAAAGAGAAATGAAAAATCGCGCTCAACGATTCTCTTTTGCTGACTTAAATGTCGCGCGCAACTGAATCAGTTGCGCGTGACAGACCAGCGCAATTCAGAACGATGCGCGCGCCTGGCCAGCGCGATCTACTGAGTTGCGCGCGGATACTGGTCACCAAAAGACCGGGATTTTGATTTTGATCCGTTTGATCATTTTTTTGAACGGTTTTTGCTCGTTATTAGACGTAATGGCGCGCAAATTATCAAAAAAATTTTAATTGCTTTGCATATTGTAGTTTATTTTCTTTTTTGTTAGTTTTTTGCATCATATTGCATGTACATTGTGCTTTGTGCCTTCCCCAAGCATACGTTTTGGACGTTTTTCGTAAGAGTGCCTTAAGACATTCCGTGGTGGTGCTTTACGTAAAAGCATCCATAGACAGGTTTGTCATTTTACTGTACTGACGTTACAAATGTCCGGGTTTTCTTATTTTTTCATGTCCGAAGCAAAAAGGAAGGCGTTTTCATGCAGCGTAAAAATGGAAATGGCGTATCGTAAGGCGCAAAATTGTACGGTGTAGGTGATGCGTAAAATTTCACTCAGCCCAAGCTTTGCGAGATCTACCTCTCGGAACTAATAGGTAGAGAATTACTGTAGGCGTTAGCTCAACGAGTCGACAAGCGCGTCGAACCTTTAGGAACATGCACTTCTTGAATGGGAGCAAATACGAGAGTTAGTGTGCTTACTAACTTACTGGACAGTTAGGGTGTCGAATCCACCCCCTGTATAAAGAAGCGACGAGACGATGTCGCGCCTATGTAGTCACGTGCCCCCAGTCCTGAGACACTTGTACTCATCTTGTGGACAAAACTGATCAGAGAGTTGCTGACTTTCTTCCCTATCACTGAATTTGGATATATGCCTTCAGTCCTGTGACATGTATTTCTATCTTGTGGACGTCCAGCTCGATTACCGGACCCAACTCGAATACCGAACCATTTCGGCTCAAATACCGAAAACCCCTTTTTTCATCTATTACTTTGTTAAAGTCAGGCTAAAGTTTCAATCACATATCGAGGGACTTTAGACCAAAGATGACACAATTGAGAGGAAATCCTCCCCTTTTATTCTTTTAAAACCGATCTCTTCTCATGACCTGACATCACCCAGAATACTTTTACTTGTAAGAGCGTTCTACAATTGCAAAGGATAAATCTAGATTCTTTAGCGCGTTAAGACTAGGAAGGACTTTTTCTAGCCTTAAAAGCTACTTGTTTTAAGCAGTTAGCGAACCAAGGATTGTTTCGACATCCTTAAACATTACTGAAAGATTCTCTATCCTTAGAGAACTTCGGAGAATGAGTCTCGGGTTTATTTCCTTGACTACTTTGATCACCGTCTATCTAGACTCGATAAAAGTGGGGGCTAACTTTAGACATCTACTTTTGGCCTCTTGTCCCGACAGGAAGTGCAATGATGATAAATAAAGCCATCTTCGTGTTGGATCAAAGTGAAGAATACTTATGGATAGCTAGTTAAGCCACAAAACACAAAAGACTAGCCCAAATTAAAGAAAAGCCAAAAAAAGGGTCTAATTAACTAAACTCGATCATAATTAGTCTTAAGCCCGTGCTTAAACCCTAATAATGACGGATTTAGGAGCGCCTAGGTTAAAACTTAGTGTTGCCGCAGAAAAAGTCGCGCGCATCTCACAAAGTCACGCTGGGCTGCCGCGCGCAACTATTTTAGTTGCGCGCGACACCCAACGCAACTTCCAGAGTTGCGCTGCGGAAGATTTGTAATTATTCGGAAATTATAGGGAAAATATAAAATCGAATCTTACCATAAAGCCGCGCGCAAGACCAATAGTTGCGCTGCATATAGCAGCGCAACTCTATAACTTGCGCTGGGTTGCTGCGCGCAACTGCATCTATTGCGCGCGACACCTGCTGCGGCAGATTGCTCGAAACCCTAAACCTAATCCTTCTCTATAAATACGAGCTTAAACCGAGGCTTCAAGAGACAGAAATTAACCTAAAACTCTGGCGAAATAACTTGTGAACTTGTGCAACCTAGCCCTCTTGTCCTAAACACTCATCCTTTCGATACTTTGTTACTACGGTGGAGGTTCCCCAACAAGAAGGTGTCCATAAGTGTTCTAAACGAAGATCTAGCAAAGAGAAGTGGTAAATTCCCGAGCACTTAGTTAAATCACCTTTATTTTTCTTGTTTAAAAGGACTTTAATTAATTATTTAGTGTTATTCGATCACTTTTAAAATAATTAATTAATCAATTCTACATAGTATCATGCGTTAAATAAAGACTAGAATTGAATTAAATATTGTTGGTTGATCACCTAAGCCAAGGCGAATCTTGTTTATTGTTCTTTCACGAATATTATTAAATAAAAATAACAACTTTTGCAATGTAATTCCTACGTGAATTAATGCTTGTAAAAAATCAACTAACATAGTTTTAGGTATCGCGTTTAGGATGACGATTTCCCTCTATAAGGAACGTTATCTTAGTACCCTCGCTCCCGAACTCATTTTTGGTTTATAGACCAATTTGGGCATGGGTAAACTTATGATTTGTGCTAATTATTCCTTGAACTCCACATGAAGGCATGAACGAGGTTTATGAGTTTTTCCTAAAACTCATTAGCGACTCCTACTTGTTTCTTATAAAAAAGCGTGATGATAAAATCAATTCTAATTCAAGGTCCCCCAAACAGTCAGGAATTCAAATCCTACTACACCTTAACAATTGTAAAGTCCTAGGCTTTTAAGTGGCTAAGGGAATTTAAGGAGAGTACCCCTTACGATGGGATCATCCTCCTTACAACATCCATAGTTAGAATCTTTAGAAAATTCATATTAGATATCTTTTAAAAACAACCCGATTCCCATAATGTAAGCAGCAAAATAAATAATATGCAATCAACTTATTATCTAGCTACAAAAACACAAACTTGACAAAGTTCCTTGATCTAGGAACTATGCTCAAATATATTCATAAAAACTTATCAAATGATTTTTTTTTGTGTTTCTGAATAAGTTCAAGGTTCTGCATCTTAGCTTGTTCCTTTGTACCGTGTTGTAAGGCTTCATATGTTCCTTGGTCAAGCTATGCTCTAAGTTCCTTAAGGAACCAACACTTTATGATATGTTGGAGCTTCTAAGGAGCTGTAGGACAATGTAGTTGATTGATGCTACTTTTATAAAGTGACATACTTCTATAGAAACTCCACTAGTCTCAAAGAAACTAATGAGTTTAACACTAAATTCTCTTAAACCTACATGCTGGGAACAAACATGTTAGTTTCATAAAATTTATGGTCACTCAATGCACATTAATACCTAGTTGTAACCTTTACATGTTTCACACTTGGAGGTGCACCATAAGAACACCACCTTATCACTTCTATCATCAAACTTCCCTTTTCAAATGAAGGGTGCCTTGTTTCTCAAAAGTCTAACCATTTCCTTGTATATGATGTAGCAAGTAGCATTGATAACTTTGTAGTGATTTCAACATTGAGAGCTTGTAATCAATACTTTGTTCCTGCACAAAATATAAAACTTCAAAGGAACTTGGTTCCATGGTTAGATCTTTAATATAACATTTGATTACTACTTAATCACCGAATACCTTATAGAAAAGATAACAAAAATATAATCTTTGTTATATTCTAAGGAAAGTGGTTAAATATTCCTATGATAATCATCAAATATAACCAAGACATATCTCTTTCAAAATAAACACTGAAAAAGTCACAAAAGTCCAAATGAATGAGATTCAATAGGTTTGTGTTCCTTATCATTATTTTGCTTTGAAAGAAGATAAATTAGACAGAATCACTCACTTTTCATACTTCACAAACTTATGGTAAGGAACTTGATGTATGGTAAACTAACAATAAAGTTTCTTGATGTTTATCAAGTATGGAAAATCAGTATGTCAAATACATTTGAGATACAGAAGAATTCATCTTCAATAAATCCTTGAAATGTCAGGTTATTGTAAGGAACCAAATTGTGACCCTCATACATAGTATGAGTTCCTTCATCGATTCCCTTTCAATATGACACTTCTAGTTTTATAGATGATGAATTGTTATTGGTAAAACAAATAAAGTTACAAAACTTTGAACATATCATAATGTGATTCATGATCTCGAAAGAATGTTCACAATGGAGTAGGAACTTAACTTACCAACCTTTTAAGTATATGCCAAAAGTTGAAGCTCTTCCATCGTAGGCCACTAGCGAGTTAACTTTTGTCGTGCCTTCCATCACATGTTAGGAGCACCCAATGTCGAGATACCATGAGTTATTCCCCCTCACTAGATATCGTCTTTATATATCTTCATGTTCCTCTTGATCTTAAACTGTAACATATTCTTTTGGTTTCCATGAACATTTTTTTAATTATATTGTGTAGTGCTATGATCAGTAGGTTAGTCCAAGATATAATAACTGAAACATGATAATAATACCAAATCACAAGAAATCTTTTGTTTTGGCATTCAAAAATAGAAAACAAGAAAATAACTTTGTTCATTAGACTCTTTAACACCTTAATATCATACCAGGCAGTTCCCTGTACCATTCATACAGTTCCTGCATCTTGAATTCACTAAACTAATACTAACAGACCTTAGGTTCAGTTCCTTAGGTCTATGAGACTAGCTATCATGCATTTCTAATTATTAAATCAAGATATAAAGCCTACAGATAATTATAAATTTAACTGCACAAAAATCATGAAGAAATAATTAAGTTTATCATTATATTAACAAAATAGACAACATGAGTTAACATAAGAAAAAGAATGAGCAGTTGAAAATATAATATCCTCACATTAGAAAAATTCCTATAAAATGCTTAAGGGAACTTCTATTAATATAGTTCATATGGGTTGAATCGTTGATATGTATTGCAATCTTCGAAAGGAAATAACCTGTTGGTGGAACTGGAACTTATTCAACATTGTAAGTATCACCGGGCGTTAGTTCCTCTTCCTTATTTCAACGAATCAAATGGGTTTTCATCTCTTCTTTTCTTACGATAAATTTGATGTTGACCATTGCTTCAAATGTTGTCTCAATCATGATTTATAAACCTGTAAATCATCTCTTCTATAATCTTCTATAATCATGCATTAATGATCTTACAAGAAAATGATGTACCATAATTGAAAAGATTAACTTATATACATCTTTGTCTTTGGAACCCAAGATAAATTGAGTTCCTTCTTGCTCGTAACAGTAGCCAAAAATTTATATAACTACTTTACAACTAAGAAACAACATATATCTATATAATATATATTCAAATTATTCAAGATACATGGAAAAACTATTTCTCTAACATATAATCAAAAAAATTCATGTATTACCAAGTCAGAAAAAAAAAGTAAAGTTCCTTTTGATAGGTTTCCAAGTTTGTTGTTCCACAAAATGTGTTCCTTGAGCTACTTCTAATCAATCAATTCTTTATGAAAAAAAAATTAATATAACATCTTTTAAACACACTAAAAATGACGTTAACCAAAGTTGGAAAAAAAATTCAAAAGAATTAAAATGATTTTAACAAAAATACTACAAGGAACAAGCTTAAACCAATGTATGCATATAATGGAGAACTCAAAAACAAAATACCTACCTTAAAAGTATGAGTCTTTGAATATCTTTCACTTCTCTAGTAAAAGCTAATTTCCACATGGTGCTTGGAACAACGCAATGCTGAGTTCCTTCCTTTAATTTTCTTGTACTACGTACTCATCTTAGCCAAGAACTTGCTCATCAGGGTTTCTTGATTTCTTCGAGAAACCTGCTCTGATACAAAAGTTATTTAGATGAAATACTACAAGAGGGGGGGTGAATTGTAGTATGGAGGTTGCTAGTCACTTTTTGCGGAAATAAAAGAAACTAAACTAAAATAGAGAAATAGTATAAAAGGGATTTTACGAGGAAAACTTCCTAGGCCAAATAGGAAGTGAAAAACCTCGACCCCATGGGATTTTGACTCGAAACATTCCACTAAAATAGGTCGACGGCTCTATTACAACCTATAAGGAACTTGAGCCTCTGTCGAGTTCCTCAACGCACCCGAGTTCCCCAATCAACTAATCCCTCAATCAGTTGATTACTTTAACTCTCTCTCTCTAACGACTTAAGACTTCACTCAAAGCCTTACTCTTACTCTTACTCTGATCTTCCTCTTAATACAAAGAACTCATTCAAGTTCTCACCCCAATACAAGAATTCACTCAAACCCTCATAAATTCCCCATTACAAGAGTTCACTAAAACCCTTTAACAACTCCCAAATACATATGAAAGATGTACTATATAAAAATAATATGTTGGACACTTTGAGACTTATAAGGAACTTGGAACCTGAAGGAACTGACTCAAAAACATGGAGAAAAAATATAATTCTTTTCTACTGCTCTTCCAGTTTAAACATACGCTATTTTGGAATGACTCACTAAAGTCAGACATATTGAAAATAAAACTTAACTCTCCTTTTATAGCATGCATAAGACTTAACCACTACGCCCACTTAATTCTCCACTAACAATAAGTTTCCTTATTTTTAGGCAATTTCCAATTTCTTGGGCAGTAGAGAAACGTGTTAACATGGTAGTCAAAGTCTGGTGCACTTCGTTAAACGTGGAGTAAAATCAGGAAAACTGATTTCTTGGAGAGAAGATAAAGTAAGCAGTTAAAATCTTATTTGATGAAAAAGATATTTTTGTAAAATAATATTTAAGATATTTATTTTCTAAAAACAAAATAAAATCTTTTTGTAAAATAATATCAAAGATTTATTTTCCAAAACAGTAAAAAAAAATTTCGAAAACTAATTTTATCCATTTAAAAACTTTATCTTCTTAAAGATAAATAACTAAATATAAACTCATTCATTAAAAAGAACGTTACTTATTTTTCTTTAACTGATCCAAAAGGAACTGACTGGTCACCTAGTTCCTTCTAAGCTATCAGACTCAGTCCTTCTAGACTAAAGTTCCAGTTTAGTTCCTTAGGCTTGTTCAAACAATTTCTCTTGTCCAACATACTTACATGATTATTAGAAAAATATACTCTTATTTTTCTGTCGTCTTCATGTTTCTCTGATGAAACTTCTACTCCAAAGCTTCTTGTTCCTTCAAAGGAACTTCTCTTTGTTTGTTCCATTAAGGAACTGCTGCTTGTTCCCTTCGTCGAAGAATCGACTTCTAGTGCTTCTTAGGAGCTGCATATAAAGCCTAAAAGAACGTTTGAATATTTAAACTTCTTCTCTTTGTGTTCCCTTGAGGAACTCTTCTTTTTGTGTTCCCCTAAGGAACTTTACTTCTCTTTATGTTCCCATGAGGAACTCTTCCCTTTGTGTTCCCTTGAGGAACTCTTCTTTTCTTTATGTTCCCTTGAGGAACTCTTCTTTTCTTTATGTTCCCTTGAGAAACACTTCTTTTTGTGTTCTCCTAAGGAACTCAAGCACGATTCATACTTTGTAATCTTCAATAATGATCTAATATGTACTCAATCATCTTCATGCTTCATGCCTTGGTTCATGCACATCTCAAGACACATATTAGTTAGATAATCATCATTTGTTCACAATCATCAAAACCTTACAACAATATAAATTTATTCAAAAAAATTAGTTGGGAAATTTTTTGTTTTAGGTTTATTGTGTTAATTAATTTGGGTTAGTTAGGTTAATTTAGGTTAATTAGATTAGAATTAGGTAATTATGGTTAAATCGGAGTTACGACATCATAAGGTGAGTTAAGTCACCGGAAAGTGCCCCTTAGGTAGTAATCAAACCTATTTAGGTGAACTAGGGGCAGTAATTACTAGGGGTGAGCAAACCGGGTACCCGGTCAAAATTTTAGGACCCGGATTTGAAATTGGTTTGAATCGGATCCTAAAATTTGGATCCTGAATTGGAATTGGTTCAACCGGGTCCTAAAATTTAGAAATTGGTATTGGAATCACCGGGTACCGGTTCCAATTCCGAGTACCCACTTATGTATGTGATTGTTAAAATATAAAACAAATTATAATTCTTATTTTAGTTAGGTTCATTTTTAGCGTTTAATACTTATATTTATACATGCAATAAGCTATTTGTATTTATGTTAGGTATTAATAATACTTTTTTAATTTACAAATTAGATACAATCAACATATTTTTATTATTTAAAATTTATTTAGTTTAGCATATATTAGGTAACCGGGTAGCCTACCGGTTCCGGTTCTAAAAAGTTGAGAATTGGAATTGAAATTGAAATTGAAATTGAAATTGGTTATAATCGGGTCCTTAATTTATTACACGAAATTGGAACCACGGGTCCAATTTCGATTCCGGACCCGCCGGTTCCTAACCGGTTCCGGTTCCAATTTCAGGTACCCGGAATTTTTGCTCACCCCTAGTAATTACGGAGTGAAAACCTTCTTTTTATTAGAAGTAGTAATTCACAAGGCCTCTGTTTTTGAGGTAGTAATTAATAAATTTTCGTTTTACTGTTACTCAATACTAAAATTAAAAGTTTTGATAAATTCAAAATATAAAAAAATTTAAAAAAAAAAAAAAAAAAAAAAAAAAGTCACCGCCATATATAGTCAACAAACGAAAATAGAACTCCAAAAAATTTTACCGTTACTACAAGAAGTAGCAATTACAAATTCAAACTCCCCTATCACTATCATTCTCCACTTTCAAAATTCAAACTCCTTGAAACACCAACACCTTCTTAATGACAACAAAACCCAAGACAAACTCAAAGATTTTCCCCAGATAAACCAATCCAATTTTCCTCACTTCTTTCGTTCTTTCCCAAATTCCCCCAAATTTCCTTCATGAACAACTATTAATCTTTCCCCAAAAAAAACCAACAAGAAACAAAATGGCTGGATTGAAGAAAACGTCAATTTTACGGCAATCTTCATATAATTCACTCTACACAAATCCTCTCATTGATCGAAAAACCAATGAAAATGTAGCAGAAGTTGCTGTCATTCCTCTTGGAAATCACCTTTCTCTCAAAAACAGCAGCAAAAACATAATGAGTTGTAAGGAAAATGATATTCTCATATCAAAATCAAAGAAAGTTTCGAACTTTACTGATGATAAGGAGAATCTAGTGCCAAAAATGACTGAATTCTGTACCAAGAAACAATACCCAGATGGGAAATCTTTGCAGAATTGTAAAGAACGAGCTTTGAAGCCTTCTTCTCTTCAATTGTGTATACAAATGAATGAACCCGACTCGAGTTTCGGGTTCGGGTTTGGTTTTAAGGTGTGGGATGCTGCTGAGGAGACCGAGAACGCGAAATCGGTTAATATGTGGGATTACTCTGACTCTGAGGCTGCTCCTGCTTCTTCTTGGTCTACATTGCCTAATAGGTTGGTTTGATTTCTGTACAATTTTGATAATAAAAGAGTTAATTTGTTACTGGTACTAAATAATGATACTATGATTTAAAGGTCTGTTATGATCATAGATTAGCGTAATTGTGAAAATTTTATGCAGGGCTTTATTGTGTAGACCACTACCAATAGATGTTGGAAGGTGCACTTGTATTATAATCAAGGAAGCTGCACCGCAAGGATTTCGTGGCGGTTGGTTGTATTCTTTGTATACCAATGTATGCTCCTTGTTTGCTTTTAACTTTTCTGTTCATTATGATTATTGAATTAGCTCATATCTTTTGATGCTTGATAATCTGATAACAGTTCATTTTTGCATTCTTGAGGATTTGTTTGTTGACACATGATGCTCCACATAAGTACATGTATTCTTGACGTTTCAATTCTGAACAAATATTAGGAAACTTATATACTTGTATAGTTGTATAGCTCATGGATACGTACCTGCTTAATTTCCTTGAGCGTTTTAGTATTCTTATGTCAGAAGTTCAGTGACTCAATTATATCTTTGTACTTGTTCTACTCCTATTTAATTTCTTATGCTTATTTAATTTCCAATAATTTTTTGTACCTGTTAGACCGTTAGACTGATCTTTCTGTTGTACAAGTATTAGTTCAATTTATGACTTGTAAAACAAACTAAAATATTAGTTCAATTTATGAAGTTTAGCTGGCTGTTGTGTTGTGTATTACTGCAGTGGATTAAGATTTCTCTAAACATAACTAAAGGTCATTAAGTGGTCTTTTTGTATGACAACAAAGGATTATGCTATAAAATTAGTTGGTTTTCTACAGTACAAGTAGACTTATTGAATGATACTGGCTATAATTTGGACACGATTAGTGATTTTCTCAGCCTTTTTTCAGGAGGGTCAAGGCAGACAAAACCGAAAACTGGCTGTTGCTTACCACAAACGACGTAGTGGACGGTCTGTATTCGTCATAGCCCAAAACACAAAGGGTGTATTGTCTACCTCAGATGACAGCTTCGTTGGTCTAGTAACAGCCAACCTCATGGGTTCAAGATATTATGTCTGGAATAAGGTACAAGTACAACAATAGTGATAGCATGATACTCCATATGAAGAACCTTTATTTCTAGTCCATGAAAATTATGAAAAATATAGTACCACTGATTCGTACTCTGGCCAAACTCGTGATTGAAATGCAAATGTGAATTTCTGTTTCCCAGGGCAGGTCCCCTAGGACAAGGGTTGATAGATCAAGATTGCTTGAGGCTATTGTAGAGTAAGCCTCCCTATGATCGTCCTCTTGGTGCTTTGAGCAATAGTTTATAACATAAGCACCAAAAGCATCTTGAATTCAATTTGAGTTATGTGCAGGTTCACTCCCACCATTGCTACCTGGACTGGGAGGCACAGAAGTCTTAGAGCATGGATTTCGAAGCAGCAGCCTCTGTCCACGCAGTCAAAGAATACAACTAATAATCAGGTCAATCTTGATTGATGAAGACGCGATATTTTGTTTAATACATCACAGTTATACCAACGACCTTGTGACTGAATCAGTGAAATTTTGACATCTACAGGTACAAAATGTGAAGGGTCTTCCTTCACAATGGGAGGGGAAGATGGACCAAGAACAAGTTCATTGCCTATCATCAAGAGCACCTCATTATAACAAGGTCAGAATGCTTTTTCCTATAATTTTATCACATTTTTCTCCATCTTGGTGTAGTAATTTACAATAAATTTCTGACTGATTTGCATCTTTAGATTTCAAAAAAATACGAGTTGGATTTCAGAGAGAAAGTCAGAGCTGGCCTTAGAATTCGGAGCTCAGTTAAGAACATCCAGCTTACTATGAAGGTAAGGGTATGGGTTTATGCGCAATTTTTTTTTGTACAAGATTGGTTTTAAAATGGGTTTTGCTATACTTATATGTATCCTTAAGGTTTAAATTTATTCTCTAATCTGGAATGTAAGTTTTAGAGTCAATGAAAAAATGAAGCGTAATTTAGTGAAAACATATGCTTAGTCTTTCAATTTATAGCTTCTTATACATGTCACTTAAGGATATGCTAACACTTGTAAAAAAAAATGACTAATTTGTAGGGGAGTGGAGGACAAACTATCCTGCAGCTTGGAAGATTGGGCAAGTCAAAGTTTGTGCTAGATTATAGGTAATGGATTCATTGATCTTCTTAAAGTTTGTTGATTCTAAGAAACCTAGCCTTTTTATTAGGAGTTGTTAACTGAAGCCGAAATTCTCAATGTAATAGGCATCCACTTACTGGATACCAAGCATTCTGCATCTGTTTGGCTTCGATCGATCCAAAACTTTGCTGTGCAGTATGAAAGGCTTTTCATCTATTGTTTCCTAGATTTTTGGGGTTGCCTGCAAATATGTAATTTTGTGAGTAGGAGATGATATGTGTATTATTCAAGAATCAGAAGTGTGGGAGATGATATGTTTACTGGGAAAAATATGCTGCTGCTGCTACTGTAACAGAACATTCACATATTGTGAAATCGACTACTTAAGAAGCTAGTTTATGATAGATATGCTGCTTCACCAGGAAAAATATGCTGCTGTTGTAACAGAATGTTCACATATCGTGAAATCTATTAAAGAAGTTAGTGTATCATTTGTTCCAAATCCCTTGCAGAAGCTTATTTATTCTGTTAACCATGTTCCTGAAATGCTACATCTCTTTGCCTTTCATCAACTCTATCCTATTGAACATTCGATTGTCAACAAAAGGATTACTAGCTATTTTACTACGTACGAATACTTATAGCATCACAATTTTAATTCTTCAACCCAAAACGTTATCCTTTTAGCCATCGTGTCCACGTCCTTAATATGGTCCCTTGTCATGTTCCTATGGTTCGACTGCCACCAAAGTTAACTAACTGAACAGAATTAGGAAGACACAACACACAAGACTCTCCACATAATCCATCACCTTGTAGACTTTTTAAAAAGAGGGATTCGGAAATATGATATGTGAAGGTGGATCATTATCTGACACGTATATACATTTCTTGTTGACTGCAAAGATTACCACTTATATGTAAACCCTAAAAATTGGATGCAATTTATGACAATATTTTTCCCACAAGTCAATTCAATACAACTTTTCCCAAGAATCCCTATTATTATTCTCTTTTAGTGTCCACAACTCAAACGTAGCACACAGCGGCATACAAGGTAATGCAATGCTTCATCTAGGAAAATAGAGTCAACTTCACATTCATAATCTTCATCAAAATCATTTGTCTATTCATCATCCCTTAATGAGTATAGATACTTACACGTTCCATGAGATCTCTTGTACATCGTAAAGACTAAGAAGATTTTATAGTCATCATCACAAGTGTGAACACAACCAACCCAACTAGAGTCTATATGAACATAGAACGAACCCGTTGAACAGGCAATGAGATTTCCAATCCTCGGTGGTGCAAGGATTCCAAAGAGACATTGAATCCTCATGATGTCGAAAAAATACAAGTTTATCTTCGTGGTAAATAAAATAAAATTAAAAAAAAAGTGTTTATCTAGTGACAATTAATTATCAATTACCTATTACTAAAAGCGGATCTAAGGAGTCACTTGGCAATGCATTATTAAAAAATTTCCCGCCAAAACTACTTTCTAAAAAAAATTACGGAGTATTAATTATATTTAAAAAAATTAAAAAAGGTTGTATTTAGATTATCAATCTATCTATATATTATACTAAAAGACAAGCGCCTCAATGTGAGGATGACAAATGTCACTCTCTCATTGGCTTATCTTATGTATAAAATATATCTATATAATTATTGTTTACATATTCAAGCATAGTTATTTTTGTTAAACTTCAAACAATAAAAGCAAGTTTCTATACATGCATAAGATTTTCATGATTTCCTAACATAAATATTGATTTTTTTTTATAATAAATATATACTTTCCAATACTACAAATAATCCATAAAGTCTTTCCAATTTTATAGTCAATTTAAAGAATAATAACTAATTTGAAGCAATATGATTAAAGTGACATAATTAAGGAACAAATATTTCGTATTTTGAAAGGCTAATATTTTTTTTTATGAAAATTAAATAAAATCGATAGAATTTAGTTTGATGTCAATTATGAAATCAATACAAACATATAAAAAAAATCAAATGTACAATAAAATATTGTGCACCTATTATAAAAGCTACCCTGTAATGAATAATAGTTATTTATGCTTTATTAATAAAAGTTACCCAAAATAGTCTACAAGTTATCCTAAATTCAATTCAAGTAATCGGATGAATACAAAAGTTTTTGATAAAGATACAAAATAGTGTAAAAATTGCTTTTATCATTTGTTGTACTCCTTGACAAATACTGAATGCTGAGCCGAAATGTTGTCTTGGAAAAAAATACATAATATTGAACATAAATTTAATTTTAATCGGCCTTTTACAATGACCTTTTGTTTTTCTTGCATAAAAAAAAATTGAACTAATAACCAATCTAAACAAGAAGAATAAAAGTTAAATTGAATTAGACATTTGACGGAAAAGGGACAGATATAAAATATATTATAACTATTACTCGTGTTTTAAATTGTAATATTCGTAATAACAATGTTATTACTTATGAATTTAAAAGTCGTGCTGATGTGTCTATTTTATATAGTATTTTACCCCCGTCCCTTGGTCATAATTAGTAGTGTTTTTGGCTCTTTAAAGCCACTTTTATTACTAATTGGTGTTTTCTAGTGTTTTCGTAGATTTGGTTGACTTTTGCAGGGATTTATGCTTTTGGAGTATTTTCCCGAGATATTTTGGAGCAATCACGAGCATTGGGGAAACACGACCAGAGTTTATAGCCCAGGGCCGGTTAGAGCCATCGAACTGGTGATTAAGGGCTCGGTATAGGTGATACCGGGGCATTTGGACCGAGTATTCAAGACTGGAAGAGGAAACCCAGATTGGCCCGAAGAGTTGGAGCCCAATCGTAGTCCAAATAGTGGCCCAAATGAGCCGCCCGGCCAAAAAGGATGGCGCCCAGAGGCGCGCCCGGTGACGCGCCCGGCCGGGCGCGAGATTAGTTGTAGGGCTAAAAAGGCGCGCCCGATTGGGCGGTGCCTCGCCCGATTGGGCGCGTGTATTTCTTAGGAGACGTTTAACGTAGTTTTAATTTGTTTTAATTTAGGATTTTGTACAGAGTATAAATACTCCTCCGTAATTCGATTTTAGGATCTTTTCTTCTTCTTTTTACTCTTTCTTTACTCTCTTAATTATTCTCTTAGATTTCTTTTCTCTTAAACCTTTGTTCTTAATTCTACTCTTAATTCCAGATTTATTTTGGTAACGATTTCTCTTCTCTTAATCTTAGTTGTTTATTTTATTCCTTTCATCATGACTTGTTTTATTGCTTTGATTAGTTTAGTTTTTAATATGTGTGAGTAGTTTATTTCTAGGGTTGATGGGGATCCATAAATAATATGAAGGGGTAATTTATTGTTGTTAATTATCAATGCTAGATTAATTTCCTATTGATTGATTTAATGCTCAGTGACTAGATTAGGCCTATCTTTTATGCATGAGTTTGACAACATTGATTCGAGATTCGACAGATGAGAATTAATGTTTAGGTCTAGTTTCAATAGGCAGATTAATTTATAAATGGTTAAGTCGAGATTCGAGAGATGAGATTAATACCGGTAAATTAATTGTGTGATTGTAATACGTAGCGAAAGCCCTTTACAATCTGGTTAATTGATGCTTTGATGGTTGACTATTATTGATTATTGGTATTGCATGATAATTTCTTATTGAATTGTTTTAACGTTTTACAATTGCGGCTTGTAAAAGTATAGCAATATTGAATTGATGAATCGAGCAGATGTTAATTTGATATTTAAGGCTATTTTCAATAAGGACTTAGATTTAGTAAATTGTGAGAGCCTGTTAGATCTATGTTGTTTAACAAATTGCGAGAGCCTGTTAATCATGTTATTTATGCATTGTCAATGATTGATTACTATATTTTACCCTGGAGTATTATTTATTGGTGAACCTATGCCCTAGATCCTTTTATATATTATTTTCTCCCTATTCCTATTCCTTGTAGTTTAGTTTCATACTCAAATATAAATATTGGTTACTTAGATAATTTAGATTATAATAATTAATTAGGAGTAAAAAGACTTGTTTCCCTGTGGAGAACGACCCTACTTCCCTATCTACTTTAGTTAGAGGATTTAGGTATTTACTTTTGATTAGGGGATACGACTTTACCCTGTCAAAATTTGGCGCCGTTGCCGGGGAAACGGTTTTATTTTTATTTCTGATTGTTTGTGTAGTCTAGATTATTTCCCTTTTGTCTCAGTGAGCGTTAGTTCTCTGAGACAAATCTCATATTTGCTTCTAGTTTTTGTTTATGCCCAGGTGTTCCAGATCAGGTTACATCCCATTCGATCCTGAGATCGAACGTTCCTTCCATAGACAGAAAAATTTCTACAAGCAAATCCTGGCGGATTCTGGTGATAATAACAATAATCACCGCGATCCTTCAACTGGTTCTAGCGATTCAGAGACATCATCAGACGCAGAATCAGAGATGACGGCTCCAAAGAAGCTTAGTGATTATTCACAACCAAAGCTTACGGATTTTCCACATCTCACCCCTACTCCGGCTCTTGATGGGGTTCAATTTGAAATTAAACCTCAATTTATAACGATGATAGAGAGGAAGCAATTTAGTGGAGCCAAGGGTGAAGACCCGAATCTTCACATTGCCGACTATTGTCAATATTGCAACACCATCAGGCAAGCTGGGGTCACTCAAGACCAAATAAGGGAGATTCTCTTTCCCTTCTCTTTAACTGGAAAAGCTAAATTGTGGTTTAATGGCTTAAATAGAACTACACTTGGTATAACTGACTGGGAAACTCTTGTTTTGAATTTCTATAACAAGTATTATCCTGCAGAGAGAACAGCAGTACTACGGAGTGCGATCCAGAACTTTGCCCAAGAAGCCGATGAATCTTTATATGAGGCTTGGGAGAGGTTCAAGGACTTACAAAGAGAATTCCCTCACCATAATTTAGCGCAATGGAAGTTAATCCAAGCCTTTTATAACGGCATTGGAAATTCCTCTAGAATAATTTTAGACTCTGCAGCTAGTGGGAGATTTATGAATCTTAATGTTGATGTTGCAGGTCAGGTTATTGAAGACATGGCGATACACAATTCCCAATATGGGAACCCTAGAGGATTTGCTAATAAGGGGAAGCATAGTGTCGACTCTGTATCCTTTTTGCAAGCTCAACTAACCTCCATTTGCCAAAAATTAGATAATCTGAGCACTGCTAATGTAGCTAATGTTTCTGCAATTAATAATAATTCTAATGAGGCCTTCTGTGAAAATTGTGGTATTGTAGGTCATTGGGAGCAAGATTGCAGGAGTTCCGTGGAGCAAGTTAATGCCTTCCAAGCTTATAGGCAGAATAACCCATACTCCAACACCTACAACCCTGGATATCGGAATCATCCGTACCTTTCCTACCGGAGCACTAATGTTCAAAATCCACCACTGCAAGAACCACAGGCACCACAGCAGCAGAAATATTATCATCCCAATGCTAGCCAGAAGAACCAACCAC